GACATGCACAGATTGAGCACCCTTGACTGAATGAGAAAAGCAGGGACTTAATTTTTCCAGAGGAAGCCATGGCAATGGCCATTTGGCTTGCAGACTTAGCCATGCCCCCAGTTTCTCCCAGTTTCTAACACAAACAGGGCCACTGCTGACAGGTCAGCTAAACTTTACAGTTGATTACACTTACACTTGATTTGTGTTTCCTTAAGGGACCCTATTCTCCAGACTGGCCACAGAAATCTCTCTCAAGAGCCCTGGCAGTGGAAAAACAGACCTCAGCCTCTTTAATCTCTGCCCTATTGCCAGAGCAGCCTCCAGGGCACAAGTGGAAATGAGAATAGAGACCAGGCTCTTTTGCAAACTGAGCTCAGAGACACTCAACATAACTGTTGTATCTGGCAGCAGGCACAGATTCCCAAAGCCAGCACATGCAGATTATTACAGGCTGTTATAGATGCTTAATCCTGACACCAGAATAGTGGTGCATGATTTCCTGAAGGAAGAATGATAAAACTCCCCACAAGGATGCCTTCTTCTCTGCATCTTTGTTGGACTGATTTGCATATATTCAAACAGATAAATAGCTGTGCCAGGAAAAGCCCAATCTTCTATATCTGTTTCTCTTTTTTCACTAGCACAAATGACAAACAACTTAGGAACATGATGGGCACTGGGGAAGGAGGGTTACAGTATGAGAATCTTCCTTTGCAGACACCTTGGTACACTGAGTTTCTCACCAAAATGCTGTTGACATGACAACCTCACTGACCTTCTACAATAACAATAGACAATCTCATTCCAAATCCAGGTCCTACCACTGTCCTTCTCTTGCCAAGGATTCAGAGGCACTTGGTAGGCTGCTTGTCTGCAGCATGGGAATCAAGGTTTAACTGCAGATGCCTGGGAAATTCGCTGCTCATTTCCAGTCAGGTATGTCTGTGTGGCAAGTGATAAAGCTCTATCAATAAGGCACAAAGTCTCCCAAGCACCTGGCACAAGCTTGTAGAGATATGTTTCAAGAGTTATTGTGGCCCATGCCAGCCACAGTCTTCATCTGCTCCATCCCCGAGTCTGCGCCTCAGCTGGGATTTCCTCCCACAGTCCCATGAGCTCAGCCAGCCCCTGGAAAAGTCACTGTCTTGTAAACTTGTGTTTTCTTTGTCATTCAAGTGAGCTGCTATTTCTGGTATAACTACAGTTACCATGGCTACACCAGCTCATAAATAGGGTCAGAAACCTTGGAGATGTTTTTAAGTGATTCCTTGGAATAGGGAATAATAGGGAAGATCATAGGTTTTCCTTTGGGGCCACAGGGACTGCACTCCTGCTACTGCTTGGACCCCATGGCTTCTGGTGCAGCTCTGGTCTGGATCGGGTGGCAACTGATGTGGCCCAAAAGGCCAGTGCTAGCTTTCCTGGGTCCGGGGGAGGAAGAGCCTGGGCAGGGGCAGGGCGGGATAGGGATTGGGTACTCAGTCCCTGGGCAGAACACGGCATCCATCTGGGGTGGCAGCCAGTCACCAACACAAAGCTGGCGCCTGTTGCTCTGCAAAGGAGCTGCGCACCTGCATCCCTGCAGAGCAAATGCAACCTGCTTTGTGAGGGGAAGGGAGAGAGGAGAAAGGGAAGTGACCTGATAATCATGGGAGATAAGAAAGAACATGATGAGTGGGGCCCTTTAGGGAATTTCTGCCGTGTTTTGTCAGTGGCCAAAAAAATAGCTTCATGTGACACCATGGAAATTTTTTTCCCACATGTCCACTTTTGTTAAGGAGAAATGAGCCAGATTTCATTGGGAAAACAGGAAAACAACGGGGGTGTTTTGAAAACAAACGTCCTGAAAATATGTAAATTTTTAAAGTTCAGAAAAGTGGAGTAGGGGGCTGTAGAGCCGATTTCCCCAGCAACTCTACCCACATAGGAGAAGGCAGAAGGGGAGGGGGAGCCCCCGGAAACCTGTCTGCAGCAGATGGAGGCATGGGAATGAGCAGCAGGGATGGGAGTGGAGTCTGCTGCCAGCAGGCTGCACCTCTTTATATCCACACAAACAGGTCCCTGCCCACAGTAATCACTTCTGCTGTCAGGAACTGCTGAGTGCAATCAATCTCCACGCATTTGTATACAAGCTCTAGTTGTCACAAGGAAGAGATGATGCCAATACGATGCTGCCCCCGTCCTCTTTCCTGTGCCCAGGAATTATCGGACAAGCCCCAGAAAGCTGTGTAATCGTCCTTAAACATGTGGGAATGCTAAGTGTGTTTGCCCCTTCTCTGCTAGATTGAAAGCTCCTCTGCTGCATCTAGGATTTATTTCCCAGATTCTCTGTCCCCACTCAAGGGCTAGGACCTTATAGATTTTTTAAATGTAAGCTAAGAGTCTCACTGAAGGATTTATCTCGTCTAACTTCAGCTGTCTGAAAGGGCAGAGGCCTCAGCTGTGGGGGTCTTGCTCAGCACCGGAGCAGTGCTGGACTGGTCCCCGCTAACAGGGTCTGTCATGTCAGAGAGAGCCTGTCCTTTCTTGGTCACATGCAGTCACACCCCTGGGTGGCATGGCTGCTCCAAAATCCCCTTCTTCAGCCTCACCCAAAGACAAAGCCCATCAATCACTACACAAACCCACACCTTGGTTTCCTTCTGCCCCTGTACTTCTCTGATGCTCCTAAGTGCAGCTCCGTTCTCTAAGACCATTCTGGCCCTGCCAGCCCTGATCTCATGTTGTGAGCTGGATGCTCAACAAGTGTAAGTCAGTGGTGCTTCCTCAGATCCAACACACCCCAGAGGACTGCTAACCCTGTGGTTATGCCTCAAGCCAGACAGAGTCTGTGACTGAGGTGCTGCTGCAGCTGAGGATAATGATGATCTTCCACCACCTTCTAGCAGTGCCATGGATGTTCCCTTTTCATCCTGAGGCTCTGCCCACTTTTTCCCACATCTCTGACACCGATTTCCCAGGCAGTCACAACAGGCTATTAAAATGCATCAGAGATACAATGTACCTGATAAAACAGCGTGCATTACCATGCATGTATTTTGAGGGGTTAGAGTTTGGGCTGAGGCTCTTCCCTTTCTCAGACAGCCCCTCACAGTAGCAATGTTACCAGTACCCAGATGTGACCTAGCTGTTACCCTCAGCCCAGCACCTTGGGTCTCAGAGGTGACAAGCCACCCCATTAGCTTTCCCCCTGTGTGCAACACAAGGGTTCCCTCTTCTTCCTCTGCCATCCCATCTGCTGGATGCAGTTAAATATTCACCGGAGCCCTGCACAGCATCTCAGCAGCATTCCCTATGATCCCCTTGAGCGGTCTCAGCTCTCTCAGCACAGGGCTGACTGCGTGCACTGCTCTGCAAGGTGCATCTTGACCCCTGTGGTACTGCTGAGAAGTCTGCTGGAGAAGTTTTTGTGCCTCTCCATGCATTCACTAGCACACAGGGGAGGGACCTGGGGTGATTAGGACCAACTCCTCCCTTCCCTGCATGTGCAGGCATGTGTGTGTGTTCACGAGCATCCTCATCGCTCAAAAGTCAAGTGCTTATCTTATTCCTTTTTGCTTCTCCAGAGATCTCCCCCCAGAAGCTCCAGAGAAGCCACAACTTCTTCTTGAAGAAAGAGGCACGTTGCCCCTCAGGAGCATGTCAAGGCTCTCCTGCTCCCCCAGACCTCACTGGAGCTGTGCTTGCAGACCACTGAGGTCACGGCACTCCCCACGCATCTCCCCCCGCCCCGCTGTGTGGGGACCCGCCCATGATTGGCACCCTGATGTCACTTGGTGGCAGGGTATATCTGGAGGAGAAAGGACACCTCGAGATCCAAAAGGAGTTGAATGTTTGCAAGAGGAGCCCTTGTCACTGTAAGTATTTCCCGGGATCTCAAAGCAATAATGAGGGTGGCAGGGGGATGAAAGAGGAACTGGCTGCAAAACCCACAAGAGAGAAAAGTCCTGATAAAACCCCATGGGGGGAAAACTTCAGATGTTTGTGCTTGTAGAGTGTGAACAGTATCTAAGAGAGGGAGTTGTGGTTCTTGGGTGGCCATTTTCTGTTTCCTCTGACATTAGGGCAAGTGCTACAGCAGTGGTTGGTCTCAAAGCTGCCTGGCTATGCGAGCAGCTCTGCCCTCTGCGGGGCTGCTCGGTTTCTCACACCGGGCACCCCCTGGTCAGGGCTCCTTGGCACCCCCTCGGCTTGTGTCCTCAGCTGGCGGAGCCTGGGTGTGAGCAGTGCCAAGGGGGCTCCTGCTGGGACAGGCAGCTGCTGTTCCCTGCCCCGGTACCCAGCCCCACATGCAGGGCACATCGGTGGGGACTTTATACCGTGGGATGCTGTACCTCTGGTGTTACCGAATCCCTTCTTTCAGCTGGGATAATCTTTCCTATGATTCCCATCCAGGAAGCAGTTGTGGGAATATAGTTCTACTTGAAATTAGTTTCTGTCTTTTAGCGTGCATCCTCTTTCATTTGTTCTTGGTCTTAAAAGTGCTGCTAGAACTAAGGGTCTGAGATCACGTGTAAAATACAGGAACAGAAAAGGCTGAACCAGCATGGACTTATTTCATCACTCTGATTAGCCAGCTCAAGCAACTGAGACTGGAGCTATGAGACTCCTCACTCCTCAGAGGCATCTTAGACTGGATACAATATTCCCAGATGAAAGCCTGGCTGCAAGGATGATGCTAGGGGCTGTCAGGAGGTCAAGAGCTGAGGATGCAAGAGCCTCATCAAAAGGAATGTAAAAATGAGGGCATTTTCTCCTGGATGCCATCTTCCAGTATATCGCTGCATGGAGGGCCACAGCCCATGGCGGTTCTGTGTCTGACACCCCTGAGACACAGAAGACAAGTGCACATGGATAAGTCTGTATTTTTGAAGGTTTCAGAAAGGAGAAGACGAGATCCTACACCGAATCTGTCTGAAGAAGGTCAAGTGAGGCATCTGTGCTATCTGTCAGGTAAATTTGCCATAGAGAATCAGAGATTAAGGATGGGGCAGATTAAAGATCAACGTTTGTCAGTAGTATTCAAGCCTCTTTAAGTTCAAAGAAAACCAAAAGAAGGATGATTAACCTAGCCAGCAACCCAGAGGTGGGATATCTGACGCAACTGAGATAAGCCCATTAACCACGTATTAGGTATAATTAGCATTCAGACGCAAGCAGAACTCTTACCCAGAGGATTAAACCCTGGACTGAGCAGAAACACTGTCAGGGGCGATTAGGTAACACCTCATCAGAGGAGAGGGCATAGGAATTGCATGGAAGAACATTTTGTTCAACAGCCGTTGCATCCACAGCCGTCAGCTCTCGCCTAGGAGCTACATCCCAGTGCCGGTGGCAGCAGAAGAGCTCTGGGAGCTGAGGAAACACTGGGGGGGGTCCAGCAGAGCAGCTGTAAAGATCCAGAGATGACGATTCAGTCTCAACAAACGTTTGAGAAGCCGTCTGATTGGTGTCATACCAAGGACTATCCAAATACCCAGGTACGGGGAGGCGAAAGGCTGGGAAATTCCCCTGGGAAGTTGCTGTGGGCATTTCTTTCATATCTGTGATTCTGGGGTGCCTGCCCACCCATGTCTGTCTGTGTGCAGGGGCAGCTGGTTTCCAAGGTGTGGGAACTGGGGCAGCTCCGGTGCTGTGGGACAGAGCCCTCTCCAGCATGAATGGAGACATCTTTGCCTGCATGTGATGGCAAACAAGTACCAACAATTCAGTGGTGGGAGGGCAGCTTGATTCCTGCTGCAAGATGGAGGCTGTTATGTGGCATTATGGTTGCTTTCCATCCTCTGCCATTTCTTTTCCTGATGCACGGATAGAGTAAGTAGGGGGAGGCTGATAAGAAGTTAGAATTGTCCCTTTTAGTTTCATTGAGTGTTCTTTCTTGAAGTCGTGCACGTGGGAGAGGATGAAGTGTGTTTTGGGTAGATACTTTTTTCTACCAAATCCTGGGTTATCGAGTATCTGGTAGGTTGACAAACCTGCTTCAGACTGAGGGAAAAGTAAACTCCAAAGCATGAGTCTTCCCATTAGCTATTTCTCTATTGAGCGAAGGTCAGGGGCAAGGCATGGAGTCAAGGAACTAAGAGCAGTTGACCCTCAAAGATGTTTTTGTGGTTAAGGTACTGTGCTGGCAGACAGCAGGGTTTGGTGAAGCAGGGCAGGAACTCACTTGGAGATGGAGCTCAAGTGCATCTTACAGGTTTTGGATGTCAGTCCAAAAGGTTGGAAATCTGTTAGCCAGTTTGTTCTTCTGCTGTACTTTTGGGAGTAGCCCTTGAGAGGGGTGCCAAGTATCTTGGCATATCAGATGATCATGGTGCTTAGAAGTGGATGTGTGTCTCTCATAATTCAGGAGAGGTATCTACCACTGAGATAGACACCCTACTGATGAGAACTGCACGTGAGGCAGAGGTGTAATACTATACTTTGGGGCATTAGCAGACATGCCATGAAGCAGTTTTCCGATGCAAAGCATTTTGTTGTAGCGTAGTGCCGTATGAATTCCCCACTGGTCCTGAGTAACAGTGAGACACCAAATTCTCTCTCTGGTTTGGAGCCAAACTGCCCTCACCTCTCACTTTGGTCCTGAAAAACTGTGAGTCAAAAAGGCTTTGTCACTCCTCCCAGCTGTGCAGTCCAGGTCATACCAATCACAGTGCCTCCATTCCCATTCCAGAGAAGATGAACGTGACAGCATTTGCCTGTTCTGCCACTGTGCTGTGAGGATAAAGCTGTGAATACCGGGCAATTGTTCAGGTGCTGCAGAGATGGCAGCCAAATAAGTAACTTCTGGGATTTGAGTTGATCCCTGTGTTTGTGGGCACAGTGTGTGCTTAGGAAGCGTTGTGTTACAGGCGGGGAAATAGCATCTGTGCATACTTCAGCTGCAGACACAACCATCTGCTGCTCCATTTGGGGCTGCTGGAACCCATCCAGTCTCCTGCTCAAGATATTACAGCTGAGACAGGAGACCGACCGCAAGCGACAGAAGAACTAGCATGCCTCTAGGTGCTATCATTAGGATCCATCCTCCTGCAAGCACAGATGGAAAGAAGTCAGGGGTGAAGTATTCCCAGACTGCCACAGATACAGAAACATGGCTCTATTTGCACTGATGTGGAAGTGACACAGGGGGATTGCTTGGATGGTCTTTCTCCTTGCATCTCAGGCTTTGTTTTCCAGCACTCTGGCTATTTCAGGACTGTCAAAGACATGAACTGCCTTCAGTCTAAGGAAAAAAAACACCCATCTTTGATGGCATTTATAGTATTGAGATTAAAAGTCCAGAGCGTCACTGCAGGTGACGTTGGAAATGAGGTCACTATGGTGACATAATGGGATTAGCCTTTAGTACCAAATCCTGAAGTTAATTCCATCAGCGATTCCATCAGCCTGGCTGCACAGGGACAAACACCTGGAGATAGGAGTTATGTAATGGTCATGGGGAAGAATGTGACTTCAAGGAGAGGAGAAAAAGTTGGCAATTAGTTGTATTCCATAAATGCACTTGATCAGACCATTCTAGCATACTAATTAGCACAAAAATTGATGAAGGGCTGAGAGCTCCCCCTTGGGCACCGGTGAGAGTTATTGCTGTCCTCTCTGGGAAGGAATCAAAGGGCTCTGAGTGCAGCAGTTCTGCCCTCCAAGGCAGAAGAGATGTCTCCCACACAGGAATTGCTTCCTGATAACTATTTGGCCTCTGTGGAGCTTGGCTTATGTGCAGTGTGGTGCAGAAGAGGTCAGTGCACGTAATATAATGCTCAAAAATACCAAAATGGACATATCCTGGGGAAAGTTATGGGCTTTGCTCTCCTAAATCCTGAGAAATTAACTTCTGTCTAAAACACAGTCTCCAGAGCTTTGCCTTAGCGTTCTTTACAGTCTTTTAAAGGTCCTCTGCTACTTCCCTTAAAATTGGTATTGACAAACATGAGGCCCTAATTGCAGCTGCACCCAGACTAAGGGCCCATCTAGCTCAGCATCCCATCTCCATCAGTGTCCAAAAGGTACAAGTATAAGAACCAGTGATGATGATTCCCAAAGATAGGATATTCATCTAAGCCCTAAGTGTGTCTGTGTGGCTCCTAGTAGTCATATCCTGAACCAGTCCTTAGCTTGAGTGTCCTTTGTTTGGCATCTTAATTCAAGCATGTCAGATGAAAAGCAGTGCTATCCTACTTACTTTGTATGCATTACTATCTTTCTTGTTTTTATCTTTAATCCTGTCACAATTATATTTTCTGTAATTCTGTCACCTGACTACTGATACCTAGAAATGATAAGCAGTGTTGCATCAGTCCTTGCTGTTATCTTACAGACAGAGGGATCTGAGAGGCGTGAGTCTGACACACCCAGCATCCCAGCAATGAGTGAGGAACCAGCCACCAACATCAACACTGAAGATGCTCCAACTGGTCCCCCCACGCCACGCAAGGGGCCTCCCAGGTTCAAGCAGAGGCAGTCAAAGCAGTTCAAGAGCAAGCCACCTAAAAAAGGAGTAAAAGGGTATGGGCTTTTTGGGAAAAAAAAAAAAAAAAAAAAAAGAAACCGTGGTAGTCAGATGTCTCCCCACTGCTAAGATGGGCTTCTGTGGTACCATCTTCCCTTGGGCAAGGAGCCAGGAGGCTTCCCACTGCTCCCCTGGTGCCACCAGCTCTCCCGCCTGGAGCTGCTTGTCTTTGTCTGCTGCTCGCCCACGGTTCTCCTTGCCTGGCTGGGGGTGCAGGGCAGCTCCCCTTTTCTGGGTGCTGCTGGCCCAAACTCACCCCTCACTTGCTCTTTTCTCCCCTAGGTTTGGAGATGACATCCCAGGCATGGAGGGACTGGGCACAGGTAAGCCCTGATGGATGTTGTTGTCATGCTCTGCTTTAACACAAGCACAGTCATGCTTCGGCACAAGAGAGGACTCTCTGGGGTGGCCTCTGCTTCCCTGGCCTCTCTGCAGCAACCAGGGTCACCAGAGAAGGCTAGTACTCCCTCCACAAGTTGCCATGGTCATGCATATGCCTACATACACCATAAACCAGGCTATTTAGGCATGCTTCAGTTTCTGAATACTTTCATTTGGCTGCAGATATGCTTGGTTGCTTTCTGCTAATACTCTGGTTAAGAATTTTAGCAGAATTAGGTTCTTAAAGAAATGCCAAATGCTAAGCTATTAATACCAAAAATCACACAAACTAAATCCCAGCTGGTTAAGTATTTGTGTTATCATCAGAATCCTAATTTTAAGAATTTTATGCACCCATCTGGGATTGAGAAACACACACTGGATGAGCTGTAGTCAGTCAGAAATTCTTAGGTATCAATAAGAACTGCACCTATCAGAGTTACAGATCCTGAATGCTGTAGACAAAATTATTCAGCATCTGATTTCAGATCGCATGTGTCTTCAAGGAAATCGCAGTTTGGCTACAGGTAGTTTATAAGAACAAAAGAAACCACATAACAGGAATGAATTTTTACACCAGTCTACACAGTCACTGAAGAAACTACAGGAAATGCTGGTTTCCTATTGCTTCCAGAGGAAGATGACACAGGAGAAAATACACTAATCTGGTTTGGTCTGGTAGGTAGTACCAGATTTGAAGAGCTCATCTGCTCATTTAATCTTCAAGTAGAGTCTCATTCTTCTTAATGTTTCCTGAGTAAATCAGCCTTTCCATTAATACAAAGGAAATTCAAGAACTGCAGTGACTAGAACCCATTTCTCATTCTCTCTCTTTTGCAGATATCACAGTGATTTGCCCATGGGAAGCTTTCAGCCATCTGGAACTGCACGAGCTGGCCCAGTTTGGAATCATCTAAGACACCAGCATCTCTTCTGGTGTCACCTGGTGACTCCACAGTTCCCAACATGGTCTTCATCACCTTTGACACTTATTTTTGGCCCTTACATTCACTTGCTCATGGCCAGGGTGGTTCTGCAAGAGCTAGTTATGAGAAAGTCCTTTGCAGATTAATTTGGCAAAGAAGTTACCCGAGGCCCTGAACAGACCTCTTGCTCCATGGGATGAAACTACTGAAAAATGTCTTAATGCCTCCCTGCACTATATTCTGTCTTTTCCCACTGTTGTAGAGCTTCGTGTTTATGGAGATAGAGGGAGGCTGTATTTGAACTTTCCACCTGGTTAACTTTCCCCCTGTTTAGCTGTGCATGGGTGTGCATGTATGTCCAGATCTAATTATATCAAGACCATTCTGGTTTCTTCCTTCCTTCCCTGACAGCTTTCTATATAGGAATTCCATGGATATGTCCCCATGTTATCCAGGCCACCAATTATTTGTTGAGAGTATATCTGTAGAGAACAGCATTAGAGTTACCAGTCCAGACATAAGGCTATTTTTTTTGTAGGAGACCCTTCCCCAGGAGTTCACCATAAAGAATCTACTGCTAAGATTTACCTCATCAGCAAATGGAAAAAAGGACTTGCAAATGTTTTCTCTGCTGTACTGCCCCCAAGCTATGAGCCATGAGACTCTGGCTGTTCTAATAACATTAAAGGGGAACACGTGTGTCTGAGATCAATAGCTACGTGAATTAATCCTACTATTCATTCCTTTGTGGTTGTAATTTCAAAGAAGCAGCACTTCAAATGGCACTGTGTTTCCTCTACTTCAGTGGAACACCCCTGTGTGACACCTGCACCGTCCTCAAGCCCCTGCATACTTACATGAGGCATTTGATCCCCTGGACATATTTGCTGCCAGTTAAGAAGACAGAGAATCATTACAATCTGTCACCAGACAGTGCCAGTAGTCCTGCCTCATCTAGCAGAAGATGATATTGCATTAGTTGCTCCCTCTTCCTTGTATTTAGCATGGGGCAAGTCTCCCTTCACACACACACCCATCAGCAGGAAGGCTTTTCTCTCTTCACCCTCTGGCAACTTCAAGTTCTGGAGCTTGTCTGGACAAGCAGGCAAATGGTGGTTCCCAAGAGAGAGATAACAGCAGAACAGGTGGGGAGGCAGGAGGAGGTTATGATGTGTATATGCAGGCAAGCACAGTGCGAACCCACTTTACCTCATTGATTTGTGTCTCCTGGTCTCTGGCAGCCTGAGTGCTGGTGAGTGGGGCGGCACTCATAACCACTTAAATGCTCAGGGAAGGCACTGAGATTCCCTGCTGCCCTGGTGTTAATGAAGGGCTTTTGCCTTGTTGGGGGGCAAGGAGTGAGCTGTTGTAGCAAGGATTTGTTGTATCTACATAATATTCATAAGATGAGGTGGATTTTAATCATCGCCTTCACCTTGACGAGCCTCACTGAGTAAGAACAGGCTCCCCCCAGCTTATCTTTCCTATGCTGAACATGTTAATGGGAGCAAAGAGTGGTTGTAGAGAGGAGAGCAAATCCTGCCTAAAAATTCAATCCCCATAAAGCACTGCTATAAATCCATGGCCGTGGTATAGTTATCTGCTACTGTTATTCCAGAAATAAAAGCTATCAGTTTTCATTTAAAATATAGCTTCAGCACCAAAAGCTGAAGGCAATTTCTGTTGGCAGTCCAGAGTACAGCTTTTATTATTCAGCACTCCTGCCATTAGAAACAGCAGTAAACCAACAAACAGTTCAGAACCGCAACACAATCACAGTGCAGGAGTCATGTACCATTTAGCTAATTGCAGCCCACAGCTATTTCCTTGGGCAGAGGCAATCTGTCCTTTCCACTTACTCCCAATGTCTCCTGCCTTTGTAACCTTTTAAGGCTTTTCTTCTTCCCCTACGTGTTCCTTATGTAAATGATGTTTTATTTAGCTTTTACTGTAGGGGACTGATTTAATTTTTTTCAAGCTCATGTGCTAGCCCTCTCCTTCTGTGGTTAAATGTGAATGTTCCTATGTCAACGCTCTTGTGCTTTCCCTCACATTACACCATCCTGTAGCATGTGATCTTTATTCTACCTTCTCAGTTTGTCCTCCTCTATCTGGGAAAAGACCCGTTGGATCCAATTTTGGATCCTGCAAGCTGGCTGCCTCTATTACCATTGAGTTTTCCCTTTTTTAAGCAGGAGAACAACAAGAAGAGAACCTCTGAATTAGGCCTTTTGCTTCCTTTTCATCACAGACCTTGGGAAAACTGTCCAAAGATAGTGATATCCTCTGTCAGAAAATACTGGGGTAAATGTAAAGTTCTCCTTAGTCCAGGGACTAAAGCATTTCAGCAAATTGGAGTAGTTCCACATCTGATTGCCATAACTCTAGCTCCCATCAGAGAAGTACTCCATTCTCCTTCCTAGAGGAGTTCAGCGGGAATGCACAAATACCCCAGTTCTCATGCCTGGCTGATGAGCTGTATCAGAAGATGTTTTGAGTCAACACAGTCTGTTAGTTACTTTAAAAATAATTTCTATTCAATAACAGGGATTATATTCCTTCCTTTACTTGTAAGGAATTTTGAGACTTAGAAGATGAGTCCTAAAACGTCCTCACAGTTGTTTTGCCTCAGATTCTGAGTTTTTTGTAATGAGCTATAACCCCTGAAACCCCAGTCTTTCAAACAGTGATGTTTATGGTGCAAGAAAGCAACTGTGTTAAAGTAGCTTGTTGAACAACTTCAGTCTATATGCACTGTTATATGTTATTCTCTTCTTTTACTATAAAAACAAGTCAAAAGCAATAAAAAATAACAAAAAATGTTTTAAAAATCATAAGAATGTAGTCTGACTTGCTTACAAATTATATGCAGAGAAAGGCAGATGACTTGGCTTTTCATTCTAAAATCCTTTCCTGAGGAAAGCTCTAAAAGCCACTCACTACTCCTCATGAAAGAAAACCAGCTATTTATCTCCAAACAATAGGCAATAAAGATTAACTGTGATATCCATCTGAGAAGCAGTTTTTCCCTGAGTGATGACTCGTGTATTCTCCCAGGCACGTGATTTCCTTGGAGCTGAAATCCTTTGGCCAATAATGTCTTCTGAGACTCTTTACGCAACAGTGTCAGCATGTTTCTACCCTACAGCAAAAAATGACTGAGATGTGAATGTCACTTAATTGCATCTCATTGCTATGACTGCAAGACAGAGCTGCAAACACTCTTCCCCTTTTGCTTCTTGTTGAACTTTCTAAGTGTTCACAGGGGTTTGAAGCTGGTCAGGTTCAATTGCCTCCTGGTGTATGTTGCCAGGTCTCAGCCTTAGAAAGTGTTTTCTTTTGTGCCAACTTTGAAGCTTTTTTCTTGCAACTCATCACTGAGTGTCTAATTGAAATTATTTTGTCTTTTAATGCTCTCTATCCTGTGACATACAAATAAGAGTTAGCCAGGAGTGGGGGGGGTGGGGGGGGGTGGTTGCGGGTGGTGTGTGTAGGTGTGGTGTGTGTGTGTGTGTGTGTGTGTACTTTTTATAAATCCCTTTCCTACAGCACTTTGAAAGCCAGAGAAAAACGTTTTCACAAGGTTGCTGCTATTTAATAGCACCAACTTTAAAGCTGGGTTTAGCTGATGCCTGGAAAAATCTGTAATACCAAGAGTGCCCTCAAATTCTGTATCACATCAAGAGTGCCCTCAAAGATGAGTCCCATCCTCACTAACTTCAGTTTCCAGCTCTAGTGAGAAAGATAAATAAACCTAAATATCTGCAAGAAAAGAAGAATGAACCTTGGGAAAAGTGAGAAGCACTTGTCTTCCTTTTCCTCCCCTAATATAACTAAATCACCTCAGGAAACTCAATTTAATTAAAACAAAACAAAACACCCAACTAACAAAAACAAACCCTTCAGTGTAAGTTGGATCCTTCAGGAGATCTGAAGATGCTCAGTGCAAGATTCCCATCCTCTGACATTTTGTAAATCAGCGCCTCATTCAGTATCAAGCGACTATCGCATTTTCCTATAGTATTGATCAATATGGTATGGACTAACAAGTGTAGTCTGACAATACCACTGTGTGTTTTGTGAGGCATTTTTCTATTTTATAAATGGGATTTTGAGAGCTAGAAAAATTAATGTCAAGAGTATTCATCACCTTTAGGTCTCCCGTACTTGATTTTCCAGAGTACTTAACGCTATGTCTTGGTGATTAAAATACAGCTGTCATTGGTTGTGGTTGCAGCTATGAGTACTTACTAGTGAGTCTCACTCTCTCTGAATCTGATCTCACTCAGACAGTAAGATCCAGGGCCTCAGCTTGGAAATCCGAGGAACAATGAGTATGTATTTTGAGAGCATTTATGTAACACCTCATAGGAATGACTTGTTGAGCATCACTCAGGGTGGGCAGGTTATTCCAGCCAACAGCCTGTTTCAGCATCACCACACCACTGTGATGCAAATCTAGACAGATTTGAAAAAAGGAACAGAAGATCATGTAATTAAAATGAAAGATGGTGTCACATGTTTATAAGTGTGCTTAACTGTGGAATTTCCTCATGCTGGACTGCTTAACTTTGAAATCTTACTCCCAGTCCCCGTAGTGCTGCTGGGGTTGTTAAAGCTGGGCGCAGCTTAGTACCCTGATGTAGGGCACCTGCACCACCAGGTTGCCCTGACTGCCCAAGGCTGGGATCGCTTATGGCTCCAAGGCTTACCCACACCGACTGTAAGCCACCTGTAGGGAGTGGGATGGCTGAAACCTCTGTGCTAATAGCACATAAGGATTTAATTCTATCAGATGCAACTTTTAACTTATCTTTAACAAGTGCTCTCATTTTTTACGTGGTTTCCCTTCTGGAAGTTAGCATAACTGTGGCGAGAATTTTTTGACCCTTGCTACTCCAGTTGGGTTAAACAGATACCTTTACTGTGAATGCTCATTGCCTTCAGGCATTTTCAAACACTTTCTTCTGTCTGGCATTTTTCTAAGGGCCTCTCACATTCCTGAGGCTGTAAATGAAGTGGCTGAGCATAGCAAACACTAGCACATATGCAGTATGAAACAGGCTGTCCCGAAGGCTGGGCAGACCAGGGATATGACAGATAGATGAACTGCATTACCTTGTGAAGAGTATGACTTTAGTCAGGGGAGGAGAATGGGAGTGGAGAAGGTTTTTGGTACCCTGAGAACTTGATGAGGACAGTGGCAAGCATAGGAAAAGTGCATAGGAAGGAATGATTCCTTCAAGAACATGGAGAGCATGGAGCAGAAGTGTGGCGAAGCCCCTGCGCTGTGAGCTGCCTGCCAAATCAGTATACCAGGCTCTGCCCTGTGGACTGTGCCAGACAGGGTATGGCACACGGCCAAGGAGAACTTGCAGGAGCTCCAAGCCTGTTATGGTACTGAATAAAAGCATCTGCACAAGGCACAAACTATCTACAAGGGTCATCCACTGAGCCATCTGAACTTGATCCCTTACAAGAGGCCTTGCTCTATCTGGGAGAGAGTGGCTGAAGCAGCACAACCATCCAGGAAGAAAGAGAACTTGAAGAGAAACACATCAAAATGTGGGAGCAAGGGGTGCTCCAGACTACCACCACAATGGCCATGTAATCATGGGTGACAGAGTAGGTAAGTAGGAATAATGTCAGTGGGAGAATCTGTATCTTGTGTTATTAGGAGAACTCAATAACCTTTGGTTTGTTTCTCCTCACCTCTGGTTAGGACACCAGAAGGAGCAAAAGATGGAAATCCCAGGACTGTTAACACCCTCTCCAATGTAGGCTGGTAGAAAACATCCCTTGGAAGTGTGATCTATGCAGCTTACAGAGGGTGAAGAGGGGCACAGCAGGTTAGAGACAGATGCAACACAGGGCCAGTTCCTCGGCCATACAGAGGTTTCTGCCCCACAAATGACCTGAGGCACAAAATCACATTGCTTCATCAAAACCCCACATTGGTTTCTCTAGGCACAAGGAGAAGACAAGCTCATTTGCTCATCTCACAAGCCAGTTGGATACAAGTCAGCTCAAACCTGTACACCATACAGCCTCCTTATCATCCAGGCAGCTGCTGGCACAGGCACAGCAAGCTTGCACCTGTCTGCACCAGGGGAGCTAGCTACAAGTTGGAAAGTAAAGGAAGCAAAATAACAGTAAGCCAGCCACATGGGAAACAAGTAGTGTTAGATCTGGCTTTAGCAACTGCAGTGTTACCAGAAACTGTCACTGAGATCAAGGTCTTTCCATGCTAGGCACTCTGTAAGTACATCACTGAGAACCAATGAATTAATAATAATCCTGATCTCCAAGTCAGTGTGGTACTCCAGCCTGTGGATACTGAAATTCACTAACAAGGTGGGGACAGTGGAGATGCAGCACAAACAGTCTTGAAAATGTCAGTACCTGGCCAGGTCATATATAAACAGTTGGGATGAAGAACATGCAGATGGAAGCATCAGGGAACAGTCTTTTCAAAAACAAATCTTAAGCTAGGAGAAGATCTGGCAAGCCCCAGTCCCAGACAAGAGCAAGGGGAAAGCAAGTCACCAGTGAAATATGGTCAGCAAATGCAGAAATTTTGGACTAAAGTTGCCTATATAGAAATAGCACCATAAGGATCTATATTATGAGAAACGTAACAGGAACTTAACACTCTTGCATCCCCATCCAGAAAGCTGCATTCAGTTCTAAGCATTTTGAGGACAGAGGCTGATAAACTGTTAAACATTTTAAGCTAATGTATAAGGGGGAGGAAGAGGAAAGAAACATACAGACAGAAAAATTAAGAAAGGAGGAGGGACTCCACAGGCAGCAGGGAGTTTGCTCCAGCATGCACAGCCCACTGAAACAGCCAGGTGGAGTTGCGATTCCCAGCTGGAGGTAGCTGTAGTGTATAGATAACAAAGGAGGACAAATACTAGCTAGAATGAAACGAGGAAAATCTATCTGAATATAACAAGACATCAAAATTTTAAGTAGTAGTTGAACAAGCAGTCCTGACAAATGCCTTCCTTGGGAAAGCTGGCCTCTTCTCCCATGGGAAGTGGGAAGACTGCTGCTTAGGACTTTTGTGACTGGCCTGTAGAAAGCATCCAAGAATCCCCTGCAGAGAACATCTGGTATGCATCAGGCATAGTTCATGCAGGAGGCAGGGCAGCTGCGCTGGGCCATCGCCATTGGTGCTTTCTCTCAAGCTATACAGTAGTGATGTATAAAAATAAGTTTGTTTTTCATATGAAATTTATGCTCAGTCATTACAATATCAAAGTTAAATACACAGGAATCTCTGTTTAGCAGCCATCTGTAAACTTCCAATGACAAGACACAAACAAACCAGTGAAGAAGTAGAAACACATTAATATGATGGAAGAAGAACATCCGAGCTGAGCTTTCACTCCTGCTCCCTGTTACCTGTCAGGAGTTATTACTTCTCTGTGGAAACCAAAAAAAAAAAAAGAAGAGTAGGGATCATTGGCTCAGACCCACACCCCTGCTAGCACCCAGCAAGCCCTTAGGAAAGGTGGCTGTACTAGCCCTTCACCCCCAGAAAGCGCCAGACAGCCCAAGCGACCTCCTGCTGCTACAGGATCATTTCACCATCAGGGAGCAAAGTCAGCAGCAACAGCCTCCTGCTCGCTGCGCGCTACGAAAGCTCGGGGGGGACATGTATGCAGTGAGTGGCAGTCCTCAGCAACCCCTTGTTGAGCTGAGGCACGGGGGGCCTGATCCCCACACATCAGCTACGTGGCCCCCACCCATGGTCCCCAGTGCTACACTGTCTGCTCGCCCTCTCCGTTACCCTCCCTGCCCCTCTCTTAGCCCGTTTCTGCCTCCT